TACTTGTGAACTCACTTTTCAGGTGATGACATCAATGAAGATCAGAGTCTGTGTGCTTCTGGAGAGATTTTACATATGCATTTCCTTTTTCTTTGTATGAACTTAGGCTGCCACCATTTTGAAATATGGCTGTCAGTAGAGCCTTCTTGATGCAGCACATTAGAGAGATACGACGATAAGTAAATGCTTGAGTTGGCACCTGTGGCTAGGGGATGGGAAACTCTCCTTTTTCTAGGAAAATGTTTTCCTTTAGATAAATGAAAATCCTATTGTTTGGCTGAGGAGTGACCTTGCACATGGACAAAAGGTTAAGAGGCAGAAAGGCTTATCCGTTTGGCATATAGGATTCAAAACCAGGCGTGTTGCCAGTAAGCTCAATCAGAGCGGGGGACACAATTTTAAATAAAGTTCATAATGGCATTTTTTAAGTGAGCAGGAAATTTTCTTTCTCTAATCAAAACCTAGATAATTCAAATATCTCTTTCTTTGGTAATATCCTGACATTGTCCACGGATTGGGGACCCCCAGAGGAAAAGATAAGTGATAACGGCTGCCTGTGTCAGCCCGTTCCCAAACTGCCTGTGTCAGCCTGTTCCCAAAAGAAATGATCTGTCCGGCAGACGTCAGTGGGAGTCTGCCTGACAGAGGGGTGTGTGCACAGAAACCAAATTGCAGGATTGGGATCTAAATAAGATTGTGATCTTTGACTTCCAATCTGTGTCATAACTTTTCTCTGTTTATTTCAGTATTTGAGATCTGACAGGGTGCCATCACTCAGATCGCTCAGGATTTTTCTTCCTATGTAATATTACTGGCTTTTTTTTTTTTTCTTTTCAAAGCAGTGCTTTTCACTTTTCAGGAGTTTGGTTATAGAAGACAGTGCTGATGATACCAGTTCTGAAGGAAACTTCACAAACTGGGAGTTCACAGCAATATAAAGAGCAGCTGTGAGTCTAAGAGGGGTTGTGACTGCAGAAATAGTTGTCTTGAGGTTACTTGCATTTCAGAGGAGGCAGTATGGTTTATAAAGCAGATGGCACAGGAAGGATTGCTCAGAGAAAGTTTAGACTTAGTAAAATCTCAAAAATCAGATTAAAAGACAGATGGGATTCTGGATTGGAATGCTAACATGTAGGAGTTTTTTTGGTCTTTTTGTATTTTACTTTCCCAAATTATAACCTTGAAGATGCTGGAGGTTTTTATATAGCTGATAATAAATTTAGCATTAGAAAATGGAGGGAGTTACACTTAAGCAGCTGTTTTCACTGTAACTGGTAGTTTTGGTTTGTGCCCGTTTGAAAAACGAGTAAGATGTGATTGCTGAAAGAAGACAAAGGAATATAACTATCAGAAAAGAGATTTGGACTAGTCTTACTTACTTGGCCATACGCATACAACAACCTTGTTCTCTTAGTGGAATGTAATGCTATATTTGCTGTTTTCCCATTAACCTCATTTTCCCACTTTGCTTTGGGATCCTTGAAGCAGACAGAGTTGCAGCATTTCCCAGATGGCTTGCAGTATTTAACGTTTGCAAGTGGCCCATTCCTACCTGCACTTTTCGACAGAGACACAGTCTTTTTGCCCATCCAGACACAGTATCTTTGCCCATGGTTTATCTCCTGGAAATGAATAGTTGTCATAAGTAGCTCTTGCTTTGGACATGAAACATTCCTGTAGGCAGGGCATGCACTAGTGGTGCAGGCAAATGATTCTGAGTCTACCTGTGCCCGCCTGCATTGTGCTGCGAGCCCACAGGGAACCATAGGCCAGACAGCCCAGGTCTGAAAGCATCACATTCGCACCATGCTGGTCAGGAGCCAGGTGTATTAGACAGGGCTACCGGCTTGGGCATAGCCTGTGCTGAATGTGGCTGGCCTGTCTGGGGAGGTGAGAGAGATCACAGCTGCCCTGGGTGAGTTCATCAGCCTGGGATCTGTCACCTCAGCCATCTCCGCTTTACTCTGTGGTGAGGAAACATCAGCACTGCGCGCCTTTATGTCCCCTTCCTTCCTCTAGGACCTCATTAGCAGCACAGAGCAAAGCTCCTTCAGAACTTAGTAACTGAATATTCCCACTGTAGTAAATAATGGAAAGCACAACAGTATCATAAATCTGTGGAAGAATGAAGCACGCTTCTCTTCAGCAGGTCACATTCTCAGAGTTCATCTAGTGCTTTTGGTTCCCTGCCTCCATCATGTTCCCCACTTACTGCAGATGTCCTTCCTTCTCTGAGTCCGTGTGTCTTTAATTCTGTGTGAGCTCCTTGCTGTGGTAGACTGTCAAACTCAAGAATGATGTATCTGCTTTATCCCCACTGTTTTGCTGAGAGTACCAACCAGAAAGTTTGCCAGATATTTGAAAGACTCTATTCCTTAGCTAATAATGAATCTTCTAAGCAACTTTTTCTAATGAAATACTTATTTTAGTATACCTAATGCTTCAGTCTAAGACTTCCCTATTAATATGAGGTCAGACTGATCCTGGATCAGTTGCTGTCCTTACTCTTCTCTCTTCTTTCCCTTCTTCACTACTCCTATTTTTCAAGAAGTGCCTGAATATCTCCTAACAATTCTGAAATTTACTGTATAGCTTTAAGTTTTCATAGTAGTCTCTTTTTATAGATTGTTCTCATCACTCTCACTGTTTGGGACGAGGTTTTCTTCAACAGTTTCTCTCTAGTTTAAAGCTTGTAATCATTCTGTTGCTGTGGAAATTACTGTGATAATGCAGCTTTAGCGTTCATAAATTCACTGCTACATTGGATAAGAAGAAAAAAGAGCTGTTGCGTGGGAGAAAGCCCTGAATTAAACAAGTTGTATACATTTCACACGTACATCAGGGAAGATAACGCATGAAAAGGAATTTGGGTTGTTCAGACTGCTAGGATTTTCTCTGTCTTCTCAGGAAAAAACAAGTCTAAATATTAAAAAGGAGGAGAAAAAAAGCCTAGTGTCTGATCTAGGGACTGTGGTTTCGAACAGCATTTCCAGTCTGTTGCCTTTCAGGATATCAGTCTTCCATCTTCAGTGGTGGCCTTTGTCTTCTCCGTTTGGAAACAGGATTTTGGAAGCCCTTATCCTTCCTTATCAGAAAGAGAGAATGATGCAGGCAGAAGCCCTTATATAGCTATAGAGTGAAGGATAAAGGAATTTCCTACTGGAGATCCCCATGGCTAGCTCTCTTATTGGGAAGAGAGAGATGGATTTGTGTATATAGGAAAATTTTTCTTTAGCCGTCTCTGTCTCTTGATCAATTTTAGTAGTAGCCTCTATTCTAGAATTTTGGATGTCTATAAGGAATTAAATAGATTTGATACATCTGTTGGTTTTTTTAAATCCTCTTCCTTGATTAGTATTTAATTTTCCAGAGATCCTTGGTTCCTTCTTATTTGTGGTTATTTTAGAAAAGGCTAAACTTTCATGTTACTGAAATTGTTAACCACAATGCTCAGCTTGTCCTGTTCCCTTGCCTTTTTTTTAATGCATGACCCATTACTCTTAACCGCATCTGTTCTTCAGCATTCTTTGCTAGGCAATGCAAAGTGGGAAACATTAACAGCACAGCTATTTGGCTTTGGATCTAAGCGTATTGTTCCTGCGTATTTTGAAAGTAAAAACTTATACTGCTTTTTGCCCTCATGTTTATAAATACATAAATACATATGTGTTCCTCCTTTGATTAATGTGGCTGCCTTTCACATGCACAAGATTTCACAAGTTGCTTGGTGGTCAAGGCAAGGTTTCTAAGGAGGCATTCTGTATGTGCACACCAGAGTGTATGGATGCTGGTTTTCAATATATGTTTTTTTCTTTGACTACTAAATGCAAAACTGGGAACAAGTCCAGAATCTTTAATAGCTAGAATGTATTTCATGCTGATCGCTTCTAAATTGGCATCCTCCGTTGCCAAGTTCTAAAGTGAGGACTGCGATGATGATGAATTTCTCTAATGGGGTTTTTGTTCAGGGCTGCCTGATATTTATATTTACTGTAGGAATCAGACAGAAGGTCTCCGCTTATAAAAGGGCCTGATATCTTTCTGGCTGAAATGCCCTTAGGACAGAGGTGCTGATATTTTTGTATTAGATCCTCACATCCTTGTAAAATTTTGTGTTGTTACAGGATGTTTCTCAGCATACTCAGTTGTGTCATTTCATTATTGAAATTCACAACAGAAATTTTTGTTAAGTTCTTTGTTCTTCTTAGTGTTATGTCTTGCTGGCTCAGGGCTTACTGCAAAATAAGTTCTTGAAATCCTAATGCGCAGTAGTAATATAATAGAACTGTGCCACCAATACTGTTCTGTAGAAATCAATGTATTGTTTTTAAATATATATGAAAAGGAAGTTACACTCTCTTTTCTGGGCAGTACATGAAGAAATGAGTTGCATGTGGAGTGTGAGCATCTTGCTTGTTAGTGGCTGAATTCCCCTGACACAAAAACGGAATTTGCAAAATATTGTCTACAACCTTGGGGAATGCCGTAAGCTGAGGTAGGGGACTTCATGCAAAAACAACAGCATTTCCAAAGATGAGGGTGAGAATGGGAGAAAGGAGAGAGAAGAGAAAAGAGGGAGGTGGGTACTCATTTAGGAGAACAAGGTGACTGTAAATGAAAAAATCCAAGGAGTGGTTTGGTGGAGGCATTGGACCATTGCTGGGTCTTTTCAACACAGCATTGCATTTAAGTCGTAGTTATTGAAGAAAGGCAGCAGCTGCTACTTGAGAGCATGAGGCAGAGGAACTATTGGAGGGACAGAAAAATAATCGTAGATAGAGAGGAATGCCTTCCAGAGGGACTGTCTTGCACAAGCCACTCCACTTTATGTAACAAAAGCCTGGTGACACAATGCATGGTTTAGTTGTAGGAGTGCCTAGGAGTGGACAAATATTGTACATCTGGAAACATTTAAACAAGTAATTAGTTTCTGGAAAAATGGCAAATTACTGGAGGAAAATGTAGTCTATTGTGTTAGCTTCTGACTGCATGTCTGCAAGATGTATGATTCTCCTGACACTCTTAACAATCACTTCTTTGCTTCCGATACTCACCAGTTGTATGTGGTGACAGGTAATACAGCAGTGCCCGGGCTGACAAGCAGGTATCACTGGGGCTGTGGCATTTTTGCCCCTTTGGAAAAAAGGCCAGTGAACAGAGAGGCAGGGGAGGAAGTGTTCCTCTCTTCCTCACTGCTAGCATTCTGCATCCCACCTGGTCGTCCTATGCTTTGAGGGCAAGGACCTGATCCTGTGGAATTTCACCGTCTTGGTTAGACATCACCAGGGAAGTCCTGTGCCAGCTGGAGCAATCTCTCCCACTGGGATTCAAAATCTCTGACTGTAACAGAGCCTGCTCCGTTGCCCACTTTCTTCCTGGGCTTCCATCACAGCAGATTTCCTCTGTTCCTTTGCTACACAAAGACAGAAGTGTTTGGGGGAAGGAGTGAGGGAGTGCAGCCCACATCCAGCCTTTCCTTCTCCCCACTGCTGGTGGAGAAGGCTGGCTGGAGCAGAGTCACAGCAAGGCAGGGACCTTAGAGAGGTCTGATGCTGTGCTATCCATGGCGAATAACAAGATGTTTGATAGCACACACATTTAGAATTATGATGCCACTGTGAGACTGACCTGTTGCCCATCAAAAGGAGTATTGCCTGCCCCTGGTGATGTGCTGCCTGACTGCGTGTGGGTCATAAGTGGAATGTAGATGCCTCCACAGCTGGAGTTAGCAGTAGGGCAATAATTCAGGACCTGGTCTGGCTTGTGGCAGAATCTGCAGTCTCTCTAAAGAGTGACTGCCCAAAGTGGAGAACTTCAGGCCGGGACAAGAGGTCATACTTGGCACCGAAGTGTCAGAGGTTAGCACTGAGCCTGGTGTCTTTTTGGTCATTGGTGTGCTAGCATGTTCTAACTGCTGCCTCCTGCAGAAGCTTTTCGGACGATAATTGCTGTGGTTGTTTTCATTACAGAAGTAACGCTGAAGGTCCATGTAAGCGATGCCAGCACACATCAACCAGTAACTGAAGCCTTCATTGAGATTTTTACCAACCAGATCTCCATTGCATCTGGAACCTCAGGAGCAGATGGCACTGCCTTCCTCAAGTTTCAGTATAAATTGGGCAATCAGCTGATAGTGACTGCTAGTAAACATGCATATGTGCCAAATTCTGCACCATGGAAACCTGTAAGATTGCCTGGTAAGAGATCTTTATTTTTGTTCTGAGGTAAGATTTTGCATCTAAAGGAAGTTACGGTTTTGTATGATTTGTTTGAATGCTTGCGATCCTGGGTGGGAGAAAGAACATCTGTGTGTTTCAAAAAAAGCAAGGTTTCTTCCTCAGTTAAACCATGGCATCAGGGCTGTGCAGAGATTTGCTCTCCTCCTGGCTGTCCTTGATACAGGGCTATGTCAGTTTTCAAGCAATTGTTGGTGCTCTTACAGCTCCACAGAAAATATAAGTTTATTCCAGATCTTTTTCTTTATGGGAACTATGTTTGTTTCAGCAGCTGTGATGTACTCATCCGTTTCTTTCCCAAGGTGTAGCTACAACTGTTGCACCATAAGCTGTAGCGTACAGAACAAGTCCTGGCCTTCCAGTTCTCAGCCGTGTCTGTAGGACAGTTTTAATCTGCAGTTACGTTATCCAGATGTAAGGATTTTTTCTAACTTAATTAGCATGGTTTGTTTCTTCCTCAGGCAAACAAATACAACAATAATACTTGCATGTTAGACTGCTTCAAAATTTTATGGGAAGTGGGAGACTTTACATTAGTTGTACAGGAGGGGAAACTGAGTCATGAAGACTATTTATGTACTGCTAAATAGAACAGAATGAGAGTGGCTTTCAGACCTTGAGACGTAACATCTAGATGAAGGTCACATCCCTAGTTTTCATCTGCCTTTCCTCTAATCCCCAGCCACAACTACAGCCCAAGTAGTTTGGGAATGGTCCCAGGCTTGTATTCTACCCAAATCTCACCTGAATATCACCTCAGATTTGATAATTAGCCCAGGTCAAAGCCATGCCAGGTTTTAAGTGCACTAATATTTAAATAGTATAAATGATCACAGGGCAGTGTTCAATCCTATGCCTTGGCTCCATTTTATTTATTAATATCGACATAGCCAGAGGGACTGTGTGACTTGCCGCAAGGTCAAGCAGCAAATATATTTTCAGATGGGGAAAGGAACTTGAATCTCTTCAAACACAGAATTATGCTTTAGGCATTTCACCATGCTGTTTACTTATCTGCATTTGCTTGCTTCAGTTAAGATAGACTGACTTCTTCCACATTTCCTCTACTGTATTCTTCCACATTTTCCAGCTACTTAATGGAGCTATAGCAAAGACTAAGCCAGGCTCTTAGATGTATAGTGAAAGAATGAGAAGCAACTGAATGAGTAGCAGCAAGGAGAGTTTCAAATAAATAAAAGGGAACAATTCTTTCAGCAGTAGTCAAAGATTGGAACAAGTTGCCCAGAAAGGTTGTGAAATCTCCATCTTTAAAGATGTTCAAAACTCAACTGGACACCCCCCTGCTTGGTTGAAGCAGGTGACCTCCAGAGGTCCCTTCCAACCATAATTGTTCTGTGCCTCTGTTTAGGAGTTTCCTTGATGTTTTTCAAGATGAAGTGCAGCTTCCTCAGCATACTTCATGTACTTCCTTGAGACACAATCATATATGATTAAAGCATGCCATAACTTTTTATTGCCTGAACCTTTTCTGGCCTTGTGTCTCATCTCTTTCTGACTCATACCCTAGATGTTTTGAATGCGACCTGCTCTCCCATGGCCTGGAGTTTGTTTGGTTAGGTTTTTTGCTTGTTGCTTTTTCTTAAATACTGATTTTGAAGGAAGGGAATCAAACATGGGATTATTGTTTTGGTAAGTCATTGAAGTTTAAAGAGCAGTAATCGTATACGGTTTCCACAAAATCTTTCTTTCCACAGCTGAAATGTGAGCTTAACTTGGAAAATAGATTCCTTTCACCTCTGATCTTTCCCCATTGAAACTGGTAGATAGTTTGCCATTGATTTAATTGGGAGTAGAATCCTTTCTTTTGCTTTCTGTAACTTGAATGTAATCCTGTCTTTGATGAAAGAAACAACAACTTACAACTTGATACACACCATGTAGATTTAATGGAGTTCTTTGAATTACTCATTAAAAGGGACATGACATAAAAGTTCAGACCCAAGATACTTGGGTAGTTATTTTCTGTATTGACTAAGATGCCTATAGTCTTAAAAAACTTCCCGAGAACTGTTTGTATTTAAATACCCTGTATTTAAGTGCCTGTCATGCTTGTAACCCACACAATATAGAAGTTTTGAAAACTATGGAAGTTTTGCTGTTGTTATTTTTAATCTGGGTTGAATGATGGGGAACAGGCAGCATATTTAAATCTCAATTCTGCGATGTGCATTCTGAGCACATGCGTACAGCGGGATCCTCATTTCCCAAAAATGCTTTTCAACTGTGCTAGTGGTTGTCACCCCACAGAGCAGATACACCATTCTGAGCCACAGCAGTGGTTTAAGCTAACGTGCCGTCCTGTGTGCTGTGGTAAATGAACTATGGACACATTTACTTCAAATGTGGAAGTGATAACCACAAGCAGGGAGTAGGTTTAAGAGCTATAGAATGGTAGTGTTTAAAGTGCTGTAACAGGACTTCACTGGAGGGTCGGGGTTCTTCCATCACAATCAATATGCATTAGTTATAATCTTATGCCGAAAAGCTGTGCAGCCACTGGACTCGTGATACTACTGTAATAGCTTTAAAGGAGTAAGCATTGAGTTTTCTGTTCTCATAATTTGGCAGAAATGAACTTTTCTTATATTAACCAAAATAATTACTAGCTCTTTACCACTTAAGCAGGAGGATTATTTATTTACATAATGATAAATGGTAGGAGGAAAAGATTGAGATCTCTTTTTCCATTAACTATTTATCAGCAGAGCCATGACTCCACTTATTAACAGTTCATTAATTTAACATCACTTGAGTTGTTGAAGTGTTCATGATGGAAGATGTGCTCATCTACCTGCTCTTAGCTACGCATCGATTTTTCTTTGTAAATAATTTGGAAGAAAAAAATTTGTGACTGCTAGTCCATATTCAAGAGGACGTTTTTGGAGCAGTGTGTGCAATGAAGAGAGGGAAATTGCTGAGGCAGCACGATTCAGTCTATCTGGTAGGGTCAATCAAAGCAAGCCATAGCATTCACTCTGGTGAAATGTCGTTCTCGGAGCAGAGGATGCTCGTGGTATTTCTGCAAGAGGAGAGCTTATCTGGAAAGCAGTGACTCTGCAGAAGACCTGTGAGTCATCGTAGATGAATGGTTGAAAGTAACCTCCAAATGCAGCATTGCAAGAAAGCAGAATAATCTGATACTTAGCTATAATATAAGGTAAAGACTGAGAAGGTGGAGTATAGTATTTCGGAACTTGTCCTTGGTGCAGCCGCTCAGGGAAATGTGTGTCCAGTTCTGGATCCATGCTTTAAGAAAAATGTTTAAAACTGCAGGGTTATATCAGGAGTGATTAAAAGATTGGAAAATACGGCTTACAAGGAAGGACTTGGAAGTACTTAATTTATTTTGTTCACCAGAGAGAAAGTTCATGGGGCGATATGATCGTAGTCTATCAGTACCCACATAGATTGTATAAAAAGAAGATCAAATGGCTGGAAGTCTAACCTCAATAAATTTTGATGGTTAAAAAAGTACACGGTTTAACGGTCCTCATAATTATTTACTAGAACATTGATGTTGCAGTGTGTTTTTCACCACTGGACACCTTTAAAAGAAAATTGGATAGTTTTTCTACAACATGTTTTCTAGTTTAAGCACAGCTATTGGATCTGAAGCAATAATTAATTCAGGGAAGGCTGTAGTTATACAGGAGTAACACTGGATCATCACAGTCATCCTTCTGGCCTTAAAAATGATGACTTTCTGCCTTTATCTTGCTGAGAAAAGATTGTGCAGAAAAGCCCAAGGGAAGTTTAGAGGTTATATATGCATTATAGTCTGGCATGTGTGGAAGAAGATGTTGGCATGGTTTATTGTATTGAGCTCCCCAGGGTGTCTAAATTATATTAGTTTTCTTCATACAAATTCAGTTATTGGAGTAAAGACAAATAAATTTTGTAATTGTGTGGCCTTAGTGCTACTTACACTAGACTTTCTTCCTTATGTTGAATGATGTGTAGATCTGTTTCACATGCAGAGCGTTGGAAAGAAAATTCTCAGCTGTACTTGCAGTAACATGAGTCTTTTTTTTTTAATGTTCATACATGTTGTTAAGACCATCTTTTAGATGGTCTTTTCTTATCAATGTGTTTCTCCTAGTTTCTTCTCCTTTTTCCTGTGTTTCTCCCAAACACTAAAATTTCTGATCTTTATAAAGAGAATATATTTCTTAAAACAGGAATAGTGTACAGTCTCCCTGTTTGTAGCTAACATCTATGTGATCTCTTGTATTAAGTAATACATATTAACTTAGAGGAAATTTATGAAGCTCCAGAAAATCACAAGAGCTTGCACTGTTCTTTTATTAATGGGTTCTGGAAATGTCTTCCTCAGCTTGTGGTCACTTCAGAACGGGATGAGTACTTTCCAGGTGCAAATGTGGGATGCTGCCCAGTTACCAAAAATTACTAGTCTGCATTAATCTCCTCTGCTCCTTCTATCTTTGAAAGCCATGCATGGACTGCAGGCAGGTCTACTTCTTACTATTTTCATGGGTGCCAGGAGTCAGGTGTGCTTGGTGGCTAATTCCATACATATTTGTGGTCTTCGGGGTCTGAAGAACTTGGCATAAGATTATATTGTGTTCTTCACTCTCCAAAGATGTGTGTGCATACGGACGCAGCCCTCTGTATGGAAGGTCAGTACCCAGTGGCAAAGGAGGGCCTCGCAGGCAGTTTTCTTGCAGCAAATATCATTTATCAGTTCCCTTTTGCACCACTGATAGAGACAGTAGTTCTGCTATATATAGCACTTCCTGTAGTGTAGGTGGTGACTCAGTAAGGACATGATGTATTTTAAAGTAAATTATTCTGTATGACTTTTTATGTAAGCATCTCAAAGTATTTAAAAGTTAAGTTTTATTAAAATCTTCCTGAGGTAAGAAGTGCAGCCTTTTCATAGAAAAATAATTCAGTCAGACTGAGTTAGTGCCTCACTCCTCTTTATGGAATGACAAGTCTTACTGTGGAGCTGGAAATTATAAGCTGAAACTCTGCTTTACACTGCACTCTTCTGTACTTTGAGCTACTACGCATGATTTGCAGGAGTCAAAGTGTAGAACATGTTGTTTAGTTCAATGATAATTACCCTGGCAATTTAATTATTTGTTTTAGAAAATGCACGTGGTTTCTGTCACGCGTACAATATGATTTTAATAGTTTGAGTGGCCTGCTTCTGCAAAAATGTAGAAGAAACTAAGTGCTGTTGTTGTCAGGCTATGTTTACAAGAATTTAAATATATCCCACTTAAACTACTTCTCTCCCACAGTGTTCTCTTCACTGAGTCTTGGCCTTCTTCCTGAACGCTCAGCTACTCTAATGGTCTACGACGATGTAGTCCAGATAGTCTCAGGATTTCAAGGTATGCTGGTTTTTGGAAGTCAGAACTGAAATCTGAGTGACGCTAAACAAAAAACCTGACAGCTCGATACTTTCGGAACTCTGTCCCATGGGTGAGACTGGTATTTCGTGAGGAGTTCTGAGATGTCCAAGGAATGCTCCTCTGTGGGATGGTTTTACCAAATTGATTAATAGCTAAATTCATCCCTAACTGCTGTGACTAGGAAATTCAAGTTACTTGGTAATAAACAAGTTTGGACTTCAGTGTGCCATTTGAGAGCTAGAGATTAAATTTATTTTGCTCTGTCTTGGATGTTTTTTCATCTGCCCTCATTTAAGCATCCTTGCAGTAAACATTTTCTGATGTTCTTATTGTCTAAAGATTTTCTCCGTTTTTATTTTGTTTCTTGCTTCCTGCTGTGAATGCCTTAGAAATTTAGGGCATAGAAAAATTGAAAATTTCTCATATCTGCATTACTGCATACCCTATATAAACCTGCTTTTCTTAAGTACTTCCCATGGACTTCTTACCACACTGCCTGCAAACACACATACTACAGGATGAAACCCACTTCATTAGAAGGATAAAGTTCGAATCACATTTTCCTAAGACCAAACACAGAAGTTAAAGCAACTGTAGTATCAGATGAACAGGTGAACACTGTGTTTTCTGACTTGCACGGTAAAGAATAAAATGTTCATCTGACTGAGGGATCCGACCTAATGTAGCCCAATTGATCTGATAGCTGAGGTAAGTCTGTTAAATAAAGAACAGAAGTTTTTACAGATACATCAATGAGCTAAAACAAGGGGACATCCTTCCTGTGAGCACTCTTATTGTGCATAAATTGTGTCTTATTCATGTGTATTATGATTAGCATAATTTTAAACTCTACTAGATAGTTAATAAACAGGGGAATACTACCTTCAATAGTATTCCAAGACAACCTTGTTTTATCAGAGGGAATATAATACAATTATGCCTTCCTGACATTTTTTTTATGGTTAGAAACCATCCAGACACAATAGGCTTTTCATTAATGATAGCACTAGATATGACTGGAACTGGAAAAGCACTAAGCAAATTAGGTAGCTGATGGAATGCTCAGAAGGAGCTGGAGAACAGCACAGCTGCCGTATGTATATTCTGCAGTTTGAGAGCTGACATGGTCTAATGGGGTAAAGTAGATGGATGATGAACTATATTAAACCACAAGGGATTCCATTAGACAAAACATGAAATGTTGATTACCAACAGTACTCTACCAGTATGGTGTATTAAATACTCTTATACAAATGTGCTAATATTATACAGTTAGCTTAAAAAGAACAATCTTTTTTGTGTTTACAACTTACTTTCTTCAAAAAAACAGGGAATGTTATAGGGCTAGAGGGACATTTAACAGTCAAGTGGCACTCATAAATATTTTCCGCATAATCTTGCTCCCTTCAGTGAATTGATCTAGGGTCAATTAAATTATATTAAATTAAATCAAATATATTTAAATTAGACTAATATAACTGATTCTCCTAGTATAGGAGAGAAAGAGGATGAAAGAAGAAAGTAGTACCCAGAGTATTCTCAGGGTTGGGATTTGAACTCTCGGTCTTGCCCAGGAAAAACTATTTTATGGGACCAGCCCACACTCCTTTTCTTGGGAATTCTCTTGTGATGAAATCCAAACGAAAGACAGCCCAGACATTGTACTAGCATTTGAATGGAGCCTCTCTAGTCTCGATCCAAAATCCGTGTGACCTAGTTTTTCTCTGTTACTTCTCCAGTTTATTTCTCAGTAACTTCATGGTGCTTCAAAAGAGCTGATCAGGAGTTACCTTTGTGCAAAAATGAGAGCAAAACAGAACTCGTTATATCAGGAACAGTCTGAGAACACTGGTGTTTGAAGCACCAAAGGGAAAGAAAGGCCTGTCTAGTACAATAAGTTACTAGTTGCTTTCAAATAATTAAGCAAGCAATTTAGTATGCAATTGAGAAGTTTGAGTTGATGCAGCCAGCTTCATTTTCATGATGGTATTACGATCCGCTGCTGTGCTCTGTCCGTAATTGCGAGGGATGGAGCTTGCCAGCCCCTCAGTCGTTGAAGTTATTTAATACTGGCCCAGTGACAAGCTGAACTTCAGCATTCAGTGAATGGGAACTGTATGGGTACCCTCTATCTGCCTCTGACATTTGAGCAATCAGAGCATGAATTGACAATACTTCAGATGTTACCTCACATAGATTGAAGCTCAAATGCCGGTGTGGTGCCGTGTGTCATGCATCCAGTATGACAAGAAGTGCCTTACAGGCACTGCTTGAGATGGTTACATCTTCAGGTGTGCACTGGCAAACTGGATCTGACAGCATTTGAATCATGGCCAGCGTGTTGACAAGATGATGTTTAAAGAAGATAAGATCAGTGGTCAACAGTCCTTTACCTCATGGCACTCACCAAATGGAGAGAGCTCACTTGCCAATTTTATACTTGAATTTGTTTGGGTTTTATAAGTCAAAACTAAATATCATCAGTAATAGAAGCAATAATAATAATCCACTCCCAGTGATAAGTGTTGACTTGTTGAAGAATACTCAAAGAATCCAGTCAGCACAAGTCTTTCTCTCCGTTTTACCACTTCCAATTCCCTCAATAAGTCTATTCCCAGAAGTATGCCCCCAAATCCTCTGTGGCCTCTGCTAAAGGAGTACATTGGATTATCTTCTAGCAAGGTGGTGAGAGAAAGCAAACACCTTGGTAGCTGCTTCCCTCACAAACCTTTTGCTGGTAGCTGCCCATCTTCTGCCCCTTTGAAGTCTCTTGTTGGGTCTGGGGAGACCCAGTGATGAGCTGAGTGGAGAGTCAGAGTGGCAGGTTTTGGGTGAATATCGATATCAAGGGGTCTGTTTGTTCATCTAGGGTATGAATTAACTACTTGGCACTCGTTTATTGTATGCGTATGCACTATCTTCTGAGGAAGCTGGTTTTTTTCACCTTAAAACTTGCATCCGAGTTGGTTGCTGTACAGGTTTCCTGCCAGGTTTGGGGCTCAGCCATAGGAATGCTTTGCGTTGCCTGTCAGATTCAAGAAACTGAGGTTGGGTTTCTGAGTCCTCCCTATCTACTTAAAATTTAGCGGTTCATGGCTCTCCCACTGCTACAAGACAACCTTTTTTTTTTTATAGAAAACCCTAGACCTTCTACATAAACTACTGTGTTACAGACTCAACAAGAGTTACTTTGGTTTTAATTCTTAATTAGTTTGGCTCTTCAGAGATATAATACTGTTTTTTGGCAACTTGAATAATTCATCTTAACCAGAGATTTAGACAGCAGAAAATCCTACAATTTTACATGGAACTGTGACTGATAATGCTAATGCCGGTTTCTTTGTGGTTTTTTTTTTTTCCTGCTTTGTTACTGTGGATACTAATCCTTGCGGGCCGTAGGATCCGGCTCAGCAGGGCAGTCAGAGGTTCCTGAGTGCTTGAGCATATCTGTCCCTGAGGTACAGCAAACCACTATGGTATTGCAGAGCGCTCAGGAGATAAGTCTTTCCTGAGTTCATTGCAGTCTATTTATTTAGTTTTTTAAGTTGCTTTCCATTTAAGCCTAGAAGTTGGGTAAAAGAGATTTCTTCGCATTTCACGCGGGTGTGGTTTAATGACTATCTTAAACGCTTAAGGATACTGCCAGTATTGAGAGCCAGTTGTAAATACTTAAATGCTTCAGAAATTAAAAAAGAAAAGTGGTTTTATGGCTTTTTCTTGCAGAATTACCAAAGAAACGACAGCTAAACAATGATCAGCTCTTTGGAGATACTAGCCCGCCTACATAGCAATTTTTGTTGGCCAGTACAAAGTTTGTTCTATGGAATTTTATGTTTTCTCATAGCTAGAGCTCCTGCTAGAAAATAATGCAAGAAAAGATTCTTTTAACTCCCGGTTAATGACATTGGCAGTTATAAAGCTTAGGAGTTGTGAGTCAAGCTCTTTAATCTTTCTCATGGTGAAGTTACATGTAACCTAAAAGTACTGCCAGAGACTAATAGGGGCAAAGAAGCAAAATTGTTTTGAGTTGACAGCTTTGAACCGCATAGTCAAATGTGAATTAAGAGAAAAACTGCTTGCTTCTTGATCTTGTGCTGTATTCTGTGAGTATTCAGAATGAGCTCTGGAGAATACAATAGCTTTTGATTTAAAAATTAATTTTCATGTTGCACACACAAACTTGCAGATGGAGTCTTGCTGTGTGTTGCTAAACAGTATTACTGGTGAGCATCCATTGAAAAAGACTGTTGACTTTATAACCTAGGATTTAAATGAGACATGAAATGCCATAGTACATGAAACAGTCTTAAATCATGTTGCAGCAAAGGTCCTTCAATTAACACCTGGTAATCTTGAAAAAACACTGAAACTGTACAAGACAGAGGGAAGGAGAGAAATCTTACATGCTAAGTAGTCTGTTTCTGTTTTGGTGTGTTCTTTTAATGGGAAAATATGGAAACTCTTTTCACCCAAGCTTTGTCAAGTGAATCTTTTTATCCAGTGAGTTGAATAAAAAGTGACTGTTATCTCAGTACTAGAGATAGTTAACGTCACCAAAGCTCTATAAAAATTAAATACAGAAATTACACAAGTTAATTGGGACTACAGATAGAATTGTCTCTTAGAAAATCGCTTTAAAGGTATAAACTACATTTATCTTGCTATTTCAGGAGAAACAAAATTTAAACAAATATGGTGAACTAGATGCTTTTCTAAGCTTTCACATGCCCTGCCTCTGAACTTGGCTTTACTTTCATTTGTATTCATTAAAAGAAGCATGTAATGAAATTGGAGGTGAGTCAGGGAAATAACATAGTCATAAAAGCTTCTGATATTAGGTGCCTTCACAATTTTGCTCTGTAATACTTGTGGAAAAGTAATGGCAACTGCAAAATAAATGTAAAAATACTGTTTGTCCTGCCTTCTGATGTCTCTGTCCTTCTCAAGCTATTGCAATTTATAATGAAAAAAACCTGTAAATGTGCTTCCATAAATATGAACACCTAAATAGTCTGCCCACCTTGAATATACAGTCACTTTTAATTTTTTTTTAGGTGCACGGACTCAGCCACAGGTTCACTTTCAGAGAAGATCTGTGAAATTACCAGAGAACACTAGCTACAGTGATTTGACAGCATATCTGACCGCAGCCAGTTCACCCTGGGAAGTGGACAGCTTTCCTTATTTGCAGGGACTAGATGGAAATGGAACAGGTAACCCACTACTTTGTTTTTGCTCTGATTTCATATTGGTCCAGGGATTGACTTTTGACCATATCATTTTTTCCATTCCCACAAACATTCTTTAAAATTTGGATGATGTGATAGGTTCAACTGCCCTGCCAAAATGCTCTTCCAGACCAGAGAGCAAGGTCTGCTATCCCTTAAATGAGGCCACTGAATAGCAAAGATGAAGACTCCTTGGCCTTGGGAGATTGTTACACTTGTAGTTTAGAGCTAAATTTCCAAATGTGTTGCACGTGCACGTACAGGAATGGAGATTAACATGAAGGGACAAAAGATAATTTAACTGAGGATGCCATAGAATTCTTGTTCAATTTTTTTCTAAAAATAAATAAAATGCCTGTATATCAAGGATTAAATACTCTGTTGTTTCAGCTAAGAGTTGTTTTGATGGCTTTATTAATAATTTTGAGTCTAGCTTCAGCCAAAAATGTGCAAATTGATCTATCATCAAAGGAAAAACAATGAAAATTTATAGTAGAAACACAAACACTGTTAAATTCAAAGCTGTAATACATTTTTATGACTGCAACTTGCCCGTTACTCTTCTTCCACTTCTCATTTAGTCTTGATTGAAACAATTGATGTTGTGTGGGCTAGAGAAAAATAGAAGAATCGGGCACAGAAGTCTTCAAATTCTTAAAATGCTGGTGTGAAAAGGAGAATAATGTTTCCTTGGTGTCTGTATTGGGTTAGAAAGCAAGCAGTGGACTTGCAGTGCAGCAAGAGAGATTCAGACAAGTAATTAGGAAAACCTTGCTATGGTGAGGATAGTTTAAGCTGTAGAATCAATTGCTTGAGGGTGTTGGATAGAGTTAGACAATCACCTGTGAAGATGGCAGAGGCTAAATAACCCCTTGAGGTCCCTCCCTGCTGTTTCTCAGAATGCATTTACTTGTGATGTGTTGATCTAGGCAACTTTGAATGCTAGGCCACATGTGTAAACGGCATGTACTGAACTTGCTAGCTTTTCCCGTTTAAAAAAAAAAAAAAAAAGGCAAAATAAACTTCCCCTTCCCTTTGTACAAATCTGAATATCTCCTTTTCTATTACAATTAGAAACATGTCTGCTACCTTCCTCCAATCTTTCTATCTGCTCCAGTGAGTACATCTCATCCTATCTCATTCTATATCTCTGTCATTTCCCTGTTCTCATCTTCAACCTTCAGTTTTCTCTGGCTCTTCATACTCAGACATGATCAAATATCTCTTTATCTTTTTTTAAATGAAGGAATGCACTTGATCTCACTCATCTGTCTACTTCCTCATCTCCTTTCTTTTTATCTCTAAACCCACTGAATAAACTGTTGACAATGTGTGTGGGATTCCTCTCTCCCAAATCTTTCCTTAGTACTCTGCAACTCAGCTTCCCACCCTTGCATTTATGTAGTGAAAACAGGTCTTGCCACGATTTCAGATGATCACCTCTCATGGGAACTACACAGCCAGGACATAATCTTTCTCCTGTTTTACCTCCTAGCCTCCTACAAAACAGATGAATGCACCTTTGATTTCTTAGTCTTCTGTATGCTTGCATGACGGGAACTTTTCTACTTTGAGTATGGACGCCCTGGATTTGACTTTTATTAGCCTTCAAGTAAAAGTATGTGACAAAAGATCAAAATTACTGGCAAAGAAATGGGGTTTAAGAGACTGAGAAGAGCCTTGTTTTCTGACTACTGTAGTAGGTATAATAGTGACTACAGATACAATATATTTTTATATGCACTATATTATAGATGAAATAACCTCTGTTATTAGAAGAAGTTTCTCCAGCTGTGGAAACATGAAACTTTAAAATCCTAAACTTGGATTGACTTCCTTTTTTTCATCTCCAAGTGACTTGTTGAAGATTTCACCTGAAAAACTTCTGAAGGAATAGAAAATGAGATCACCACCTGCTGGGGATTTTTTAATCCTTCTGTTCGCAAGATAAAAAGAAAAATATATACAAATTTTAGAATTCTAAAAAAACTTAGCATTAATTTGCATGGGAAATTTTGGAGTGTTCCTGAACACTGCCCCTTCTCCCCTCTCTCCCACCTCTCTTCTCCCCCAATTACTCCTCTGTTCTTTCACAGTTTATTCAGATGTCCGTAGAGTTTTGAAGAGGTCCTCTCATTTGTTTCAATCAGCTCAGTTCTCTGGCTGGTATTTGTCCAGAGTGACTTTACGGTTGTTTTAACTAAAACCTATTCTCTATGAGTTCAACAGTTTTCACAAAATCCCAGCTGGGTGTTGAAGTAGTAATATGGAGCCGTGAAAATTCATTGCACGAATCAGCATGTTCCAAACATAAAAATGCAAGGAATTTAGCTGCAAATAGTGACAAGTCTATATTGTGTTAGCTTATTGTTTGTATTAATCACCAGCTAGAGAGCAGCAGGATCATTTCACAAAATCTTGTCCTTTTAACCAGACTAAACAAAACTTACCATCATCTGCAGTAACGGACTAAGCTGGCTAATAACTATTACTCTTCTGGTTTTATAGGCTGTTTGTTTCTTTATAAAAGAGTCAAATCTAAGTCACAGTGGATTTTCCTCTGATTATTTCTAGAGCTCTTTACAGGTCACGACATGTCAAAAATGACAAGAAATAAATGAAAGCTGTCATTTATTGAAGTCCATTCCCATTTAATCGGTGCATGTGCTTATCAGTTTTATAGCATGTGAGAGTTTCATAAGCATTGATTTTAATTTACCTTCACAACAGAAAAGAGAAAAGTTTATCTTTTTAATGAGCAATTTCATACTGTGCGAGGTGGCAAACTGAAGGATTATTTTTTCTTGCCGGATGTCAGTGAATTTCAGAAATTTCTTCCTCTTCTAATGTAACTTGTTCAGCCCAGTACTGAGCAAAGTGTCAGTGCACCTTAAGTAAAAAAGATGCAAACAGTGTTTCACCATCAAAATGCTTTTTCTGGGGCTGAAAACTCATTTTTACAGATATTAGGCATATATACTTTATCAAGACAGTAATGAAAGAAAAATTCAAAACTTTCAATATCTAAAGATAAGTAAAATATAAAACATAATTTAATCTTAGAAACATTTACATTAATATCTAAAATCTGAAGTTATACCTTTTGTCATTAGAAATGTGTATATACCAGAATGTGATCAGATTATGATACTTCACAACAGGAATTAATTTCTCTGATACCAGCCTGAGAAACTTAGTGGCCCAAGTCCAGTGACCTGGGGACAAGCATCAGTCTGACAGAAGTTGTAGGCGCATGGCAGAGGGAGTGGATTGAACGATCAGGAATAAGGGAACAACTTTTTCCCCACCAATTCCCTCCTCTATCTCTCTGTTTTATATCCTAAGGCTGTAAGGGGACGATACTGTGCACCACTGGAGCCTACAATGTACAAATGCTTGGGTGGCTGGCAACCTTCCCCTATGCCCTAGCTGAATTTCCAGACCTTATTGTTCCGGGTTTTTTTCCGTCAGTTAGCTCTGTGGCTGTCTTCTATGGCCATCTTCAGAATGCCTGTTTTCTCAGCACTTTAATCCCTCTGGAAGGTATGGTTCTGCCCAGCCGTTCACAGTAGATGAAAGCAGCACGTATGCCCCTCGCTGTCAGCTATGCAACAGTGACACTTGCCTTGAAAATGTGCGTCAGAGTAGATGCTATAGTAAATGAGCCACATGCAAAGTTATTTCTGGTTATTTTCCATGGCTTCAGTTTGGCACCTCTTGCAAAATCCAAGAAATTGTGTCTCCTTTTTTTTTTTTTCTTCTCTTCCGCTCTCCTTCCCTTTGCCACTTTGCCCCCCCTCCCCCCTGCCCCCTTTCCTGGTGATGTCTTACCTTTGGTGAGATGTTACTCACGGACATCTAATTTAATAAAGACCATTCCTTGAGACTGGCTCACTGTTAAGAGAAATCTTAATGGTCTTGATGCTTTCCCACCTTTCCTTTGAATGTACTCATCCCAATGAACACTGTCGCTGAGATACTGCGTGTGCCTGAGGACCCCTTGACGTGCCTTCGTGTCGCAGGTGGCCCACCACTGTTGGGTGCGAATGTGCTTTTACAGGCAGCTCACAGTGATGTAAAGGCACCAGGATTATAGGAGGAGCAGCACCCACTCTCTGCCAGCCAGGCCCCCCCCATCTTCTCCTGGGTGAGCAGCCGCACAGCCCCAGAGCCCGCAGGAGGGAGGCAGCAGGGCTGCTGCTCTTAGCAGCAGTGTGGACCCGGGTGGCTCAAGCCCCTTGCAAAACTGGAAGCTCCGTCTCTTCTGATTTAAACTACTGCTGCTATTGCTTTGAGCTCCAGGTCTCATTGGTTTTAAACCTCAAGCTTTTTTCCCCCTGAATACATTTATATATATCTGTGGTATTTTTCCCTGTCATTGATTCATTTGGTTAAATGGTTGAAGGGTTATAACGCTTTTTTAAATCGTGTTGTCATGAAGTAATGTCCACTGGCATGCAGTTTAAACATAAAGAATAATTATTATCTTACGTAGATAAGAAAATAACACTGTGTATCCTAATAATCCATTTAGCTTGGTTTATTTCAGTGAAGGGCCAAAGGAAGTATGTCCTGGCACCCTTAAACATATGACCGAACATCCTTGCAGTGTCACTGCATGTTTGGGTGTTAGTTATAACATGGGCATGTGAGGCTATAGCAAAGGCTTGTGAGTTGGGATTTTTTTGCCATGATTATGGCTGATACTCGTACATATTTATTTAAGATGCATTAAGATGAGAAAATATATGCAGGAGACTTTTGCATTGTGGTTTTCTTGTCTTCAGAATTTTCCAAAATTAAGTGAAAAATACAGAAGCGTATATGTATGTCTTGTGAATTTTATAAGGCAGGGAGGATTACTACTACCGTCCCTTGAGAAATACGTTGGTGCAGTACTGCAGTGTTCAACCACATGGGTATATCATAAATTCTGTAGTCACAATGTTCGTTCATTCTCTCAGTAGGAAACAGCACTAGGTATGACCTCACCCCTGTTACTGCAGTCAGTGTTCATCTCCTCAACAGCGATGGGACTCCAATCCCCGTGAATGGCCCCATCTATGTAACAGTGCCTCTGCCAACAAACAGCAACTTGAAGCACAATGCACACGTTCCAGCGTGGAGGTTTGACCAAAAATTTGGTAGGTAGCATCTCATTGTGATTCCCTACATGGCTTCATTTGTCTGAAACTAATGTCTCACTACATTTAGTATGTTAATATAGTAAGGTTTTCACTGGAGTGTATAGAAATCTGTTTTCTGTCTAAAATGCGAGAAAACTGAGTTTTATTCGTCAAGTAATAGATAGTATTTATGCAAATATACTTGAGTAGCATCGTGTGCCACTTCTAGACAAAATTTTTTTGGAATGTACCATTTTACAGTTACTAAATATTCTGTGTAGAAACTATCTTGAGAGAATTTGATTTCACCCACATAAGAAGCAGAGGGACGTAGTCACTAAGGCATTGAATTGGAAGTCTGGAGAAATGGAAACTAGCCTTATCTTGGCCGGCAGCTGGCTACCTGACCTTTGGTCTGTCTCTTGTCTCTAGCTCCGTTTCCTGCCTGTCAGATAGGCAGCATAATACTGACTTCTTTTGTAAATCACTTTTGAGACTGACTAACACTATCAAGAAGGAAAGTACATGTAAATGATTTAGGGGAAAAAAAAAAAAAAAAGAAAGCAGCAAGCAAAATTCATTTTGAAAGGACAGAATGTCCAATATAAGCTGCAAAATGCACTCAGTTTTTTACATTGCAGGATAACGTTTGCTATTGTGAACAGCCTGGGTTAGGCTCTCTATTTTTGTTTTGGTTTGTTTTTTCATTGCTAGCTGGTATACTGCACTGGCCTTCTTTACACCCTCAAAGTGTAGAGGATGAAGGGGTGCATAAGACTTGTCCTGGTGATTCCCCTTCACTTATTGCACTGTGCCTTCTGAAGTATGTACCAGATGCTTGTTAAGAAAAAGAAGTGAAAAGAAGAAGAATGGAAAGTGAGAAAGGTAGATGCTGTGAGGAAGAGAGGAAGAAAAAGGAGACAGGAATATGGATCTGTATAGACAATTGGTGGGGTTTTGTCCCTGCAAGGCAAGTGTTTTGAGCCAGTTTATGATCACATCCAGACGTAGAGCAAGAAGCATGAGACCAGCGTGTTGGAGGAGAGGGGAAGAGAGAGGTGAAGGGGGAAATAACATTTTTACTTCCTTCCTGCCTCTGTTTGCTGAAAAAGGTGATGTATGTTCAAACAGCATGCCTATAAATCTTTTGTCAGAAGTTGGCTGTATTAGAGAGTAAAGCAGTAGGATTTAATGAAGAATAAATGTGAATGTGATATAAAATTGAATAGTAGAAAAAGAGTGCAATGAATGGATTTGGGGTTTCCCTTAACTGTGGAAACAGCACTTTTCTTGTGGTGCCCTGGCAGTAAGTTTCTCTACATTCTTCCTGAAACTAGTTTTGATTTGTGATTCTAGAAACTATTTTGTTTTCGCTTGTTCAAAAAAGGATGGGGAAGACTGACTCACATTTACTTTCTCCACAAGAAGCAGTCCATCCCCAATCCTTCCTCTCAGCTGTGTTACAGCTGCAGCCTACCTTATTGCTGGTTACTCACTGCTAGTAAAATAGTTCTGATTTTGATTATGGAGCTTTCTCATTTATAACCAAAATTCCATGCCCCTGTGGTGGGGCTACAAAAACTCTCGTAGTATGGAATATGGTTTTTACTGTTGTGTATAAAGAGCTAGTTACCCTATTGTGTGCAGTATATATTAGTATAGATCAATACAGGTTAGTTAATTAGTGTGGCAGGCTTGAGGCTCCCAGTCTTGAGACAAGCCCAACCTTGTTCAATTCATGACAAACTGCTGGAGCACTTGTGTTATTGGGAGGGGAAGGCATGAGGACCACTAAACAAAATGCATCTTTGTCAGGCCACTTAGCTTCACAAAGCCATGGAGAGGAAGGCATTGAAGATGTTATGCTTAGGCTCCAGCTTACACTTCAGCTTAAGTAAGCATCTTTCTGTGCAATCAAAGATGTCGAACAAAGGTGCATTTAAGCCCTGACTGCACCATGCCAGTTCTAGCAGAATTTTGGCCACATCCCAACCAATTTAAATTAAAATAGCCTAATTTAATAAGTAGAGCAGCCGCTCTTATCTCCTGTGTGGGCTACATTAGCACCCTGAGGAGTGTCAAACTAGCCATATGTAGCTTGAACATGGTGGTACTCTGTCATACCCCATCCCTTGGATTGTGAAAGGAGGAGAATGGATGGTCACTGGGATGGCTCCATGCTGGAGAAACCCTTAACTGGCAAATAAGTTGTTGTAACCCATTTGCACTGCCAGATCTGTGCCTTGTCAGGATAGGACCTCTAACCTCATTATTCTGATTTTGTCTTTCATATCAGGGGCTGCTTTTTTCAGTGCTAGTTATGTTGTGGTCTCTCCTTAATAGATTTTCAGTGGCTTAAATTTTCACACTTGTATCTGAAAATTGAGTAAATGCCAGAGATGGAAAACTATGACTGTATTACTAGGCAATAATGCAGCGCTTCTCTTTAGTGTATTAGCAGTACAGTGGGTGTTTGTTCGTGCAAGCCATTGTTTTTGTTTAGAATCCATGTGGTTGTCATCATTACTGCATGAAGTAAAATTTCTGCTCTAAAAAACAGAAGTACTTTTCACTTTTACAGGAGGGAGTAGAGAAGGGACAGAAATACTACCAATATATTTTGATGCTTAGAATTTCATACATTTTGCCGAGCTCATGATGTACTAATATAAGCCTAGTAGCATCTGATTGGAAGTGCAGAGATTTTCATAGTTTCTACAGAAATTAAACATATTTGCAGGTTACAGCGGCCAAAAATAATTAATGACCTTTTAGGATGTTTACCATAAACAATCTGTATTTTCATGACCACAGTTTCTGTCCTTGAGAGAGAACTGGGGAGAGAAGTGGGAGAAGCAGCATAGTCTACTTAAGGCTGAGGGTGGCTCCATTGACATCGATGAAACATCCGGCCAGAAAAAGCAGGCTAACATCAAAATAAGACAACCTGCTGCATCTATTTTATACTGTAAAATGAGATTTTCATTACAAAACAAATTTAATGCCTTGCATGCACAGCAAGCAAATTAAAGCAGTAATACCTTTTTGAATAATTGACAAAATCAAGAGCAACTATCTATGCCCTGGAGAAGTTTTAGGGTAAACAAATACATCCAGCCTTGTTCTTGTGTTGATGATGCACTCCACCAACTTTCTCTGCAGCATTTCTTAGTGTTGGTAATAACAAGCACAGATTCATTGGTGTTATGGAGACATATATGCTAAAACACAACTTAATAATTCCATGCTGTTGACATACCCATATGTCTTGTGTTTCACACTACAGTGGGAGCATGGTTTTATTTCACAGTACAGACTTAAAAGTTTGACCATAAAGAGATATAGATTCTGATTTTTATAATCAGGTTTGCTCAGTGGATTTTGCTGGGTTTTTGGCTTTTTTTTTTCCCCCAAGCACTGTCTTGTTTTTCTCAAAATCTGAAGGGGCTGAAAACCTTTTTTTTTTTTTTTTTTTTCTTCTTTATCTGTAAACAGATGGTTGGGATCATGACTTCCTCCGTGAGTATTTTGCCTTGATGTCAGTAGGATTTATAGCAATATAATTAATCTGCCTATTCTTGGACACCAACTTTCTGTCCAAGACTTCTTTCTAGCCTTGACCTCCTCAGTCAGAAATGAATGCTACAGATCCCAGTAGAAATGAAACTTTGTACCTCCTGTATCATTTCCAGCTCCCGCCAGCTGAACTGAATAACACAGCACTTGCTCAGCTGTATTCTCCTCAGCCCCCATTTAAATGGTTTGTGCTTTATGTTTGGTGTCTGTTTTTCATTGGATTCAGTGAGCAAAACTGTAAGACCAGCATTCTCCATTTTAAGTCCTCAGTTTCATCCCATGTAGTATGGAGGCACCTGCACCTAGACCTCTAGATCCACACTTAGAGCCGTATGAAGGACTTTAAAATATTACCAAATATTCCGAAGTGCATAATATGGAAATGGGATTTATTCTTCAGTGACAATATCAATGCATCTGCTAGTTTATTCATCCCACCAAACAACAGGAAAATATTTTTTACACTGTTTTGAACCTTGTGTGGCAAAGGACTCTGGAGTGAAGGAGTTAAACCTCCATCCTTTTGCTCCTCCTTCTTAAAATGGGTTATTTCTTGTACACTACCTGTAAATGAAGTTCAGAGTACTGTTTCTCTGTTCCTCCTCCTCCCTGGACACTTGGTGTACATCTTTGATGTGACCTTGCTGTCTTTAAATTACTAGCTTCTTCACAGAGGAGGATGTTTCCCCAGTGCCTGAAATCTCAACCATGTATTAATGTAAAATGATAGCAGAATATGGAGAAGAGATCTTGGGGAACTCTTTTTGTAGCTTTATAAAACACAATACTTTATGTACTCTGCTGTGCTTGGTCAGTGCTTTCTGACTGCATTTAATGCCATAATAGATTTCTAAATACATTTGAAAGTCTGGTACTTACTTTTTCTGGGTCATGTCCTGCCTTCAGTAGTAAAATTTCCATTGATTTTTGTAATGTCAGAATTTCGTGATGTTCCTTGACCAGCAAAATGAAGGTAATGTTTTCTGTGCTCAAAAGAAGTTGTGAGGATATACTTATATATAAAACAGTATTGGTGCATATATAAACTTGACTGCAATATAGTTTTGCTTATTTCGTGGAGGTGAAATGATGCTTGTTTTTTCTTCATTGTGTTTGGAGGGAGAGAGTGACAGCTACAGTCAGGCAGAAAATGTAAGCAGGTTACTGTACATCTACCTGTCTAGTTCACTGCACATTATTTGTAAATAAGATGATTTGTAAAAGTCTCTGATTTAAGCTTGCCATGTGGTAGCAAGGATAATCCACCCAAAGAAAAGATTGACTTGTATTTTCATAGTTTAAAAATAAAACTTATGCCTTTTTGTTGTGAATTAACTTCTGATTGCCACCACATTCATACATGACAGGCAGACAATAATCATTTAACAAGAAGTTTTTCAGTCTGTTGCTTGATCTGACACTGGGTATGAGTACATGCCTCT